AGCTTGTAGCCTTTCGAGTTGGTGTCGTAATAAATGAAAATGAACTTCTCGCTATTGTCATCCAGCTTACTTCTTTTCTCATCGGGTATGTGCACATGAGTTATGCATTTAAAAACTCGTAGATGAGAGATGACGAGCTTCCTTCCACTCCATGTTTCTTGTGTTTTCTCCCCCACCAGACATATTGTTGGTGATCGATTAGCCAAATAAACATCACATGCAACTGCTTCTGCCCAAAACTCTTTCGGCGATTTCTTACTTTTTAACATGCTCCTTGTCATGTCAAGGATGGTTTTATTCTTCATTTTCGCTACTCCAATTTATTAGGGGGATCTTGGAACAGTTAAAAGTCGACGTATTTCGTTGGCTTCATAGAATTCTTGAAATTCTTTTAAAGTGAATTCTACTCCTCATAAGATCATATAGCTTTGATCTTGAGACCACTCTCTTTCTCTACATCTGCCTTAAACTTCTTGAATATTCTAAAAATCTCTAATTTTTTGTTTTAAGAAATACACCCATGTTTTTTGTGAAAAATCATCCATGAAGAGAAGAAAATTGTTGCTCTTACCAAGTGAGCTTGGTTTTATTAGACCACAGACATCTGTATGTATGAGTTCATAAGGATTTCGGGCTCTTGAACTTGACTCCCTTGGAAAGTTTTTCTTGAAGTACTTTCTGAGTAAACATCCTTCACATAATTGATCAGGGTGGTTGATGCAAGGTAATTCTCTTACCATCTCTTTCCTTGAAAGCAATTCGAGTCCTTCGAAATAGAGATGCCCAAATCGAAGATGTCAGAGCCAAGAAACATCTTTATAACATGTATTGAGATATTTGGTAATATCGTTTTGAATGTTGAGAAAGAACATTCTATTTTTAGACATTGACACCTTAGCAATCAAGTTACCAATATTGTCTTTTAAGAATAGAGTATTTTCTTTCAAGTGAATATCATATCGTTTCTTCAAGATTGTCTTAAAGTCAAGATGTTACTCTTCATATTCGACAAAGTAAACATTAGAAATAAATTGTTGCTTCTCATTTTTTTGGCGGATGAGAATGTTACATTTGTCTTTCACTTCTATCTTGGACTCATCTCCAAAAGACACATTGACGCTTACTAATTCGTCAAGCTCTATGAGCTTGCTTTGCCTCCCACACATATGGTTGCTTGCACTGGTGTCCAGGTATCATGTACTATCTTCATCCCTTTCATTATCCTTGTATGCTAGAAGTAGAGTGTCATCTTCTTCTCTTTTTTCTTCTATGTAGTTGACTCTTTCATTAACTTTGTGCTTAAGTGCTCTACATGATAATGCCCGAATTTATTACAATTATAACACTTAATTTAAGATTTATCATACCTCGAGTTTGAGCATCATCGACCACATCATCTTGTAGATCTTTCTCTTTGCTCATAGTTATTGTTGGTACTCCATCTTTGCTTGCTAGCATGACCTCATCCTTGTCCACTACCTCTTCCATGTTGGCTTCTAATTTTGTTGAAGCTTTCATCTTTCTGTGTTGGTCAGAGATTCATCTTGAGAAGTTGTTCGACAATCTCTTCATTCATCTTCTTCTTTTCTTCATGGGCTTGCAATGAACCCAGAAGTTGCTTTATCGTCATGGCTTGTAAGACCTTGGTCTGTTCTTTAATGGTTGTGATATTATCAAATTTTGAATCTAACGATCGAAGAATCTTTTCCATGATAGCCACATCTTCTAACTTCTCACCATTTATTTTTAGTTGATTGGAAATGATAATGACTCGTAATCGGAGACCAACTCGCCTTCTTTCATATGCAAAACATCAAATTGGCTTCTTAAAGTTTGAAGTCGTACATTTTTAACTTTCTCTTCTCCCTTATACGAAACCTCGAGCTTCTTTCATGCTAGTTTGGTTGAATTAGCACTTGAGATCATCTCAAAATCATCTTCATCTAAAGCTTGATAGATGAGGAAGAGAGCTTTTTTGTCTCTCTTTCGAAAGTCTCTTAAGCTATCTTTTTGCCACCACAATTCCACTTTGATAGATGATGAAGACTCTGATACCACTTTGTTGGAATGGAGAAGCTTTTAGGATATGACAAAAGCTAAAAACTTATAGAAGAAGCTTCACTCTTATTTATCACCTTAACTTGGTTTGATACAAACTCAAAGACTCCACCCCTATTTATACTAATGACACATCCTAAATTAATGTGCTAGGATTATGCCACCACAATTCCAATCCAATGGTTACAAATAATTACATACCTACCACACAATAATGCCACACCTACCACACCTACCACACCTACTACACAATAATTTCATATCTACCACATATTCTAGAATAAACTTCTAGAAATTAAGCTTTATTTAAACAACTAAAACCAAGTTTATATTTCAACACAAACATGAGATTCTGCATAAATGATAAAAGCAAGTGCAAGATATAAAATACAAGATATATTTACATATATACCGCTCTATTCCTACGTATTTGCATATCTAAAACCTTAACTTCAATTTTTACATACAAACCATCTTATATATGTATGAAAATAAATCGGTTTTCTTTTTTTGTAATATGAAAATTTCGATGGTATAAATGTAAAAATTCAAAAATTAGGTATTAGAAATGTAGGAATTGGGAACTATCGATGCAAATACTGAAATCATTAGGCGGCAAAGTGAAAATGGTTATATTTTTATGTATCCATTTTTAATCATCCATTCCAAACTCCACTGGTTTTGGTCAGCTTTGAGAGTCCAGTATGACCACCCAAAGGTCGCCCTCCCATACACATCAAGCTGGGCCGATCCAAACCGTTGATAATCATTCTTTGAAGCATCCTGGACATCCATATCATCCACCCATTCACCTATATGCTCTAGAGGGTTAGGGCTGCAAAGACTTTTAGCAGTGATTTTAAGACAATGAAAGCATGTTTCATACCAACAAAGATGAGAGGGCCATTTGAAATCATGAGAGAACTGAGAGCAGGAGCACGATTGTTATATATATAGTCGATATTTTGTTGCACCGACATGCCTTCAAAGATGCTTGAGAAGACATTGTAGTAATGGACGTCGACGACCGAGCCGGAGAAGCCGCTTGCAAATTGGATGAGCTCTTTGGGATCACCGATCGATAAGCGATTCGACATGATGACGTGCACGTTGGAGTACTTCCTAACTGTATTGTAGCCAACTCTGTAGTACTTCTTGAGGGTATCTAGAGTGACTCCGGGAGCTAATGGTTCGTTGATCAGCTCGATTGCATATAGGCTCGTTCTATTGGCATATCTGCATGCAGAATAATGGGCGGTGCATGAGTATTGCTATACCTCATTCTAGGATTGTAAATGAGCTCAATTTTTCAAGCTTGACTCGAGCTCAATTCAAGTTTTTATCTGAATCAAACTACCCGTAGCTTGTCAAACACAAAGTTTCATTTGATCAAGTTAAGGTCAACACTGAAATTAGCAATACCTGGAAGTTAGGAAGTCAACGACAGCAGTTGACTGACGGATGTCATCATAACTCTGACCCCATGACTGTAATCCATCCCTTGTTCCACTGTGCTCCCAGCCATTCTGCGAGCTCGGCATAGCATGGATATCTATGATCACCTTTAAGTTGTACTTCCTATATTGAAAAATGAAAAAAAGAAATAAAAATCAAATTTTTATGGAAGACAGAAGTTCATATGTGTATGAAAAACTTAATTTTTAGCTTACTCCGCCCAAGAGAAGGCATTATCCAATGCGTGCAACGATCCACCAACAAATGGACGAGGTGGATTTGGATCAAAGCTTATCCACCACCCAACTGGAATCCTCACCCCATTCAATCCATTCTCAGACACGAACTTGAAGTCTTCTTCCACAATGAAACTCTCCCAATGCTTCTGCAAGCACCATGAATGCAAGATTCCAGTCTCAGGCACACCTTTGTGTTTAGTATTAAAAACATCCGGACCTAAGTTGGGTCCGGAGGGGCAACCATTCCCCATCCTGAATTTTAGACTTTAAGCTAACCATAATAACATTTATGTCTTTCATCCGCCTTAAAATATTGCTCTGTTTTCTTATGTTGCCCTAACCGACGGCAAAATCTTCGCGGAGGATGCATAGAGGTGAGATAGTGGTTAGGAAGATGAAAATGTAGGATGATAGATGGAAGCGTTTCAAGAAGGAAGAGGCGATATATTATGATCATGGAGATGACCGACATTGTAGCGAAATGAGTAATGGAAGAGCCCGCGGATG